ATCCAATAACACATTTCAAGTATCATCCAACATGACCAGTTGGGCTTCATTCCTGAGATGCAGAACTGGCTCAACATTTGTAAGCCTGTAAACATAATTGGTCATATTAACAAGTGCAAAAGCAAGAACCACATGAATAACTTATTATCTCATGCAGAAAAATCATACAATAAAATGCAGCATCCCTTCTTAATAAAAATCCTTAAACACCTAGGCATTGAAGAAACATTTCTCAAAACAATAAAAACCACCTATGATAAACCTGCAGCCACCATCATGCTTAATGGTCAAAAGATGGAACCAGATCCCCTAAGAACTAGAATAAGACAAGTGTGCCCACTCTCACCCTTTTTACTGAACATAGTATTAAATGTCCTAGTCAGAGCAACTCGGGAGAAGGAAGTCAGAGGACTCCAAAAAGGAAAGAGGAAGTTAAGCTAAGTGGTTACCTGAAATATTTAAGAATTAAAAACAAAGTTTGAAAACATTGCACTATCCAAACCATATACCATAATTTAAAAAGAAAAAAAAAAACTGGCATAGCTATAGTAACCAAATTAAAATTTAAGACATGCAGTATTAAAGAGAGTTATTTCACAATAAAACATTTTTAATTCAAGAGAAAGATATCAGAACCTTCAATCTATGAACCTGATTTTCAACTGTATCTAAAATAATAATAATAATAAAATCAGAGAAAATAAAAGGAGAAAATGGAAAAATCCATTATCATCTTGGAAGGCATGAGCATATATCTTAAATAGCTGACTAACAAAAATTCTTTAGGGACATAATGAATTGAAATGGCACAGTGAATGAACTTGAACAGATTTACATATGTAAAACACTAACTGTACAGTTGCAGAATTCACCTTCTGTTAAAGTCCTTGGGAACGATTTTCAAAATCAAGAACATAATAAAATTTTAAAGAAATTCTCAACAAGTTTCAAACTATATGACTGCAACCGTAATAAAACACATATCACTTTCATAAGACACTAGAAGACTTCAAATCTCAGGTAATTAAAAAATATACTTCATATGTTGATGGGACACAAGAGAAGCTTTCTATTTTTTCTTTTAATTTATTTCAAGCAAAATATTAATGCTAAATATACTACATAACATTTAGATTTGGTTGTCTTTACAATGCAAATAAATTAAAAACATGGCTCTTTCTCTAAAATATTTTATATCGACAAAATCACATCAATGTCAATATCTTCATCAATGTTATTTTATTTTTCACTAGCATTAAAACTTAACTAGTTAAACATTTGTGATGTATACTAACTTTATGGGAAATACTGCCATCTATTGAACTTTCAGGATTTGATCCTCCAATATTACATTGCTGAAACATTTGCAGTCACAAGTGAGGTGAAATGGTTGACTGACTTACAATTTTGCAATCATTTCAAGTTCTTGTTGATGTTAAGTTAGATAACCAAGGTTCTACTGCTTTATTGTGATTATTTGGCATGTGTTATAATTCTTTCCTCAACTAGATTATTTTGAAAATACAGATCCTCTCATTTAGGTTATAGAAGGTTTGCTTTATAAGCTTTCATGTAAGGTGTTGAATTTTACATGCATATGCCTTATGCAGAATAATAAATGTCGGTGGTCTTTTATCTATCTAAGAATAAATTATGCAACAACCATAACTTAGAATACAGTTAAAACCAAAAAAAGGAAATTATAGAATTTTAAGCAGCAGAATAGATTCCTTACAATAAAATAACTAATATTAAGTAATTAACTAATATTAAGTCATTACATTTAAAATAGATGTTTTTTCTCTGAAAAACTGAGTATCACTTGTATATTTTGAGTAGGGATTCAAACCATAGACAAGATGATTTTTTTTCTCTCTATCTTTTTAAAAAATGTGACTCCCTTTCCTAACATGTTCCAGCCCAAATGTAGGCATCATGTTGTACTGAGTGTTAGCTACCCTCTTGGCTGAGCCATTTCTATTCTCCCCTCCATTTTCCTGATACTCCATTTCTCTGATACTGTCAGGCAGCCAACTTCAGCCAGGATCTTCATTTGCCTTGGATCCTAGGGTACTGAGTTTGCAATGACCTTGAGTAGGACTTTGTAAAGCAAATTATTAGCTCTAACTCACTACCTCTCAATCACTTATGCAGAGCCTATTTAAGACAACATGATAGATAATTATTATAAAAGTTACAAAACGAGAATTCATCTCCTGAGGCATGGTATATTAAGAGAGAGACGAAAAAAAGAAATACTTTGAGAGAATATTGTTGCCGAGTTTGTGTGTGTGTGTGGGGGAGGGGTGTTTATGTTAGAGTCAATAGCAGTAATGGTGTAAGGAAGATGGCTTTCTCAGACAGGTGAAGAGAGGAAGAAACCAGAAGTACAACTGTAAAACTTCACATGTTAAGAGAAACGATTCAACCACTGGATGTATTTGACGACCAGAAATGATCTTTATACAATTTGAATTACACAATAGACTTGTGCATATCATGGTGCTTTATTAATGCAAATCCTCATAATATATCTTTTCTCTACTCCAAGTAGCTGCAAAGATTTCCCACTATGCATATAGCTATTTAATGAGTTGCAATAATTATGGATAAATAAAAGAATACTTGACTGCAATCTGCTTTTTATGTTGATATAAGATTGTTTTAAAATAGCATGATGTTTTGTGCAATTGGAGTACAAAACAAAATATATTTTAAACAAGTCAGAATGTAAGATTCTGAGTGTGTACTGCCTTCAAAACTCTGAGCACATCTTGAAGGGCAGCAGGACTTACACCTGTCAATCATTCTGCCATTCTGAAGAAAGATACAGCCCATTAGATACAATGAGTTCACTCAGACAGTGCACATTTATTCTGTTTTTTTGTCAAGTAAAGCAACTGTTTTCTCTGTAAATTGATGCTTCTACAATAACACTGCTATGGATCAAAATAGTAAAATAAGAGATAAGGGTTTCCATATTATATGTTTATATTAATCTATATAAAATTATTCTCTGTATAAATCACAATTATGATTAATGATTGGACTCTAAGCTCAGTCTTAATAGGCTTGTAAATTTAAAAATTATACTAAGGGGAAAATAAGTGAGAGAGTGTTGGAGATGCCATTTGCAATATGAACAAACATTTACTGAGCCCCTATTGTGTATAACTTGAATTTTCAGTCTCTTAAGAGCTATAATATTACTATAGTTTTCAAAAATAGTGGTAGTAGAATCTATTTGAAAATAAGCTAGATAAAGTATAATATATTTTTTTATTTTAGAGATGTGGGGAGCAAGGGAAGATTAACAGCATAAGAAGGCTACGTGCAGGTGAAGTTTAGGCTTCTATCTGGCCTCCACTGGCCCTCACTGGCCCTTGTAGTGGGATATTGTAAATTACATCAATGTTTGTATTCAGTTGAGTCTGGCATTATCACTCATTATCTTCTGTTTTTAATCTACAACTTTAGTTGCCTCATTTGACGAAATCATAACATTTGTCTCACAGTGCCATATGTAAATATGCGTATTGTATGTATTGAGTAATAAAATAGATATAAAAGTTCAATATAATTTGTAAAATGACTTAAAATTTAATTGTACTCTATGTCCCAATATAATATTGACTCATGCACTACCTATAATTTTCTTCTAAATGTATTTCATAGAGCAAAGAAAGACCATATGCATGATCCAGATCACATAATAGGTCTTCTCTCTGGCACCACTGTTGCAAAGTGTTTTTATTTAACTGCGAATTTGACTTGCATGTCTTTTAACAATGGTCTTTTAACAATGGTAGTTTGACACAGTATTTAATTCAACTAATTTACTCATTCATTTGACAATCATTTATCAAGTGCTGGACACCTGGCCAAATACTTAAGGCTACAAAAGCAATTCAAACATCATTCTTACTTAGAGGAACTCATAGCAGTAGAGGAGATATCCACTTGAAGAAACAAGAGTAACAGCAGCATGCATGCAAAAGTACTATGTAAGAAAAAAACAAAAAGAATTGAGTCTCTGCTAATTCCGCAAGAGGGATTTTAGAGAAATTATAACAGGGATTTTAAAAAAAGGAGTGTGAGTACAAATAAATTCTAGTAGAAGTAAGAATGTGCAAAGTGTGATTACATTTTAGAAAGAGGCAATATTCCATTGTGAGTAGGCCTGAAATGTACTGAGAACGCTATTAAGATACACAGCGGAGAAAGGTTTTTCGTATTGACTTGAGAAGAACCTTTTTGGTGTAAAACTGCATTTACTTTTTGACAGTTTTTAAACTTCATTTGTAAAATGAATGTAAGGGACAACTCTCCTATAGAATTATCAAATTATTAAATATTATTCTAAAAAATGTTATCCATTGTATCTACCATAGTAGCAATACTCAAATATATTATAATAATATTTACATTGCAAACATTTCATAAATACCATCTCCTTCCAGACTAATGGATTTAATACTCTTCTTTTTTCAAGAAATTGCCTGCAGATTTGTGCTTTCTGTTTTCAAATTTTATTCTGAGAGCACACTTTGTTATATTAGCTGTAACTTGTTTTTCCATGATGTGTGTGTGTGTGTGAGAGAGGGAGAGAGAGAAACATGTATCTATAACATGAACGATTTTTTAAAATTTAAAGAACGTACATATGGAATAATATGAAGTAGAGTGTCGGTTCATATCAAAATACATTTTCAACAATTTCCTGAATATTTTAGGAATACACAGCCACTTTGACACATGCAAGATGCCATTACTTAGTACCACTGTATTATTTTTGGTATTTAACTGTGATGCTACTTGAAATTCATGCTTGGAACCAATTATCTGCAGGTTCAGAAGACAACGGGAAGAGTGAACATATAGCGCAAAAAAAAAGTCTTCACTTAAGTAAAGAGTAACATAACACTATTTATTCAAGTATTTAATTTTGTTTTAAATAAATAGATAACATTAAATTCAAGTCATGGAAAAGAGGTACATACTCTGAGGAAATCGTGGTGGATTGTCGTTGACATCAGTCAAGGTGATGTTGACAGTTGTGGATCCTGAAAGTCCTCCAACTTGCCCAGCCATGTCTTTGGCTTGAATGACCACTGAGTAGTGTTCTCTGGCTTCTCTGTCCATGTTATGTAAGGCAGTTCTAATAACTCCTGTAATACAAATTTTTTTTTATTTTTAAGTATGAATTATTTTAAAAAATTTTTAAATTTTTTTTTCAGCAACTTGGATGGGTTTAGAGTTTATAATACTGAGTGATCTATCACAGAAACAAAGAACTGAGTATTACATGTTCTCACTCACAAGCAGACCTTGAACAATTATTGTAATACTATAGGAAAAGTTTTGGCAGTCGTGGGAATCTGCCGGGGGCACACTTCATCAACAAAGGTACCTGCATAATGAACATTTGAATACCTAACCCTGAATTGCACTCCACATCTTTAAAATAATTTTTTTAAAGTATGGATTAAACACTAAGCAGAAAAGAACTTGGATATATATTTTAAGAAATGTCTTTACATAGCATACTTCTGAGAGAAAGACAGAAAGCCACACTTCTGAGAAAAACAGTACCTTAACAAAACGCTATAATATTTCATTGAGACATTTATTTATACCCCCATGTTCCAAAGCATTCTACTAGTGACAGATTAAGATTTCTGTCTGTCTGCATTCTTTGAGGTAGGTGGTCCCTAAAGGGCAACCTTGACACCCAAGCTTATTCCTTCTGGTGATGTGCTGAAACATTTTACATCTTGGGCTCCTCAAAAGTGTCAGTTAAGACATATTGGTTTGAGCTCAGTTAATTTTCCTCTTTACATAACAATTTACATAGCTTCCTAGAAGAGGTGTCAATGTAGGATGATGGAAAATATTTGAGGTGTCTGAACAATTGAGCAGAGATTATGGGCAGGAGGCATATTAACACATATCAAAAACGAAGTCTCATTATTTTTGTTAGAAAACAATTTAACGAGAACTACACCTAAAAATATAGGGAAAATAAATAAAAGGTGATGATATTTATTCTGTAAATCACATAAAAATCAATTTATTTTAATAAGACAAGGGGCAATATTTAATGCACTTTTGCAAGGTAGACACTCAGATGAATAAAGAAATAAAAATTTTATATATCTATTTGTCATTATGCATACATAAACATCCACCTACACACACTCATACACTCCTCTAACACACAGGTAAATTAGATACTCCTGTCAATAGACTTTTGCATTCTAAAACTAAAAGCACATTTTCCAGAGAACTGCATTTTCCCAGACCTTATTAGTTATGTCATAAATTAAAAATATTATTACATAGATGAGCTGAATTTTAAATATGTATATAAATATATGCATAATTATGCATGTATATGTATGTCTATGTAAATGCATATACATATAATATATAAAAATATATTTGCTACTTCAAATATTGATTATTATTTAATACATCTTTAATTTATATTAAAATATTTGAATCATGTCACCTTTGAGAAATGCACCAAAAACGTCAGTCAAAATCACATTTGGTTAGTTAGCAGTACAATTCATAAGAAGCTGCATTAATAAACAACAACAGATGCTGGCGAGGGTGTGGAGAAAAAGGAATGTTTCTACACTGCTAGTGGGAATGCAAGCTAGTGCAACCTCTTCAGAAGACAGTGTGGAGAGTTCTGAAAGACCCAGCATATCTCCTATTGGGATTATACCCGGAGTTACTCAAATCATTCTACAAGAAAGATAACTGTACACGTGTGTTTGTTGCAGCTTTAATCACAATAGCAAAAACATTTAACAAACCATGTTGCCCATCGAAGCTGGACTAGATTAAAAAAAAAAAAAAAACGTGGTACATATGCACAATGGACTATTATAAGGACAAACATATGGACTTCGCAGCAACTTGGATGGATTTAGAGTCGATTATACTCAGTGACTTATTATCATAGAAACAAAGAACAGGGTACCATATGTTTTCACTCATAAGCGGACCTTGAACAATTATAATACTATAAGAAAGGGATTGGCAGTAGTGGGAAACTGTCAGGGGAGGGGTGTGGGATTGGCAGTTTAGGGAAACTGTCAGGGGAGGGGTGTGGGATTGGCAGTTTAGGGAAACTGCTAGGAGAGGGAGGGGCATAACTCATCAACAAGGGTACCTGCATAATCAACGTTTGTATACCTAACCCTGAATTGTACCCCACATCTTTATAATTAAAATAAATAAATAAATAGCCGGGCTTGGTGGCTCAACCTCTAATCCCAGCGCTTTGGGAGGCTGAGGTGAATGGATTGCCTGAGTCTGCAGGTTCGAGACCCGCCCGGGGAATTGGCGAGACCTCAACTCTACAATAAATCAAAAATTAGCCAGACGTGGTAGAGCATGCCTGTAGTTCTAGCTACTTGGAAGGCTGAGGTGGAAGGATGGCCGGAGCCCAGCGGGTCGAGGGACGGTACCTGGGAGCGTGCCACTGCACTCCAGTCTGGGCGATGGAGTGAGACTCCAACTCAAAGAAATAAAAATAAAAATAATAAATAAAAAATATAAATAAATACATACATACATACATACATACATACATGCATACATACATACATACATACAAAATATGCTGGGAAAAAAAGCTGCCAATTATAACTGCTCACTGTAGAATTTACCAAATGCTTTTATAGACAATATGTTGATACGTGAGAACAAAAGGGTTGTATAGTCAAGTTAAAAATAGCCTTTTACTAATACAAAGCATTATTCCAATATTTATTTTGCATGTAGAACATTGAACTATTTTATTTCTTTTTTTATTGAATTGATTTGACTGTGTAATAATGACTTTGAGAGGTGAACCTCAGGCATCAGGAAAAAAAATCCTGTGACTTTCAAATATTGTGAACATATAATTGAGGGAATTCAGAAAAACTTTCCTGAAGCTAAATTGAAATGAAAATTATTCTTATCAAAAGAAATTATAATAATATGATAATAAATGATTCATCTAATTCATGCATATGAAAAAGCCTCAAGCACCCTTATAAAAAAAACAATGTTTTATCATATGATAATTACATGAGTAGAAATTGAATTGATACAGAAATGCGCAAGCAAAGGATTTGTGAAAGGAATTTATATTTTCTACTTTTCAAAAAATAATAAAGCTGTCTTTTAAAAAAAGAAGGGATTACATATGAATGTGACTTGTCTTTGGTGGGCAGAAGTATGAAATTGTTATCAAAGAGAATGATTTACAATAAAATCATTAAAGTGATGTACAAAATACACATATTTGAAGGTAAACAAATCATTATTAAATAAATGAAAAATATTTCTATTACACTATTTGAATGTTAGTCATTAAAGAGAATCACAGAAGATAAATCAACAAAATTCCAGTTTTGCGGTATGAACTTCAATAATTTCATTAGAATGTCATTATTTCTCTTCTATAATACAGCTATTTCTGGAGGAAAATGGAAAGAAACTTGTCAGCCAAATTTTCTCATGGAAAGAAAATGCATATTCAGAACTGACACATACACCTCAGAAACAATTGTCTCTGGATTCATTTAAATTCCCAAGTCTCTTTAGGATGACCCAGTTGCATGTGCTTAGCTATGACCTCTAACGGGGACATATAGGTAATCAGATAGTATTACAGTCAAATTGCCATATTAGCAAGCTTTCAGTATAAGATAATCATCTTTTAACATGTAGCTCAGATGCATGTTACTGGGGTAGCCCAAAGTACAGCGGATGCACGATAATTTTTGTTATTTATTTATTTTTTTTTAGTTTGAGTCTCACTCTGTCTCCCAGACTGGAGTGCAATGGCTGCTCCCGGAACCGCAGCCTCGACCTGCTGGGCTCCGGTCATCCTTCCGCCTTAGTCTTCCAAGTAGCTGGAACTACAGGCGCGCGCTACCACACCCACCTAATTTTTGATTTATTGTAGAGATGAGGTCTCGCCAAGTTGCCCAGGTGGGTCTCGAACCCGCGGGCTCAGGCAATCCACTCACCTCGGCTTTCCAAAGTGCGGGATTACAGGCTGAGCCAACGAGCAAGGCTATGACATTCTTTTTAAATAAACTTTATATTAAAAAAATTTAGATCTATTCACAGAAAAGTTGAAGAGAAAGTGCAGAAAATTTCCATATATCTTTTGCCCTGTCCATGCACACAGACTCCTCCCACTATCAACAACTCACATCAGAGTGGCACATGTGATACGGGAATTGATGAACCCACATTGACACGTCATTATCACTCAAAGTCCAGAGTTTGCACTGTAGTTCACTCTTAGTGTTGTCTATTCTAAGGGTTTAGACAAATATATCAATGTATCCACATTAAAATAACATACAGAAAAGTTCCATTACCCTAAAAATCATATCTCATCTACCTATTTATCTCTCCCTTCTCCTAACCCCTAGCAACCACTGATCTTTTTACTATCTTCAGAGTTTTGCCTATTCCAGAATGTCATAAAATTGAAATGATACAATAGTTAGTCTTTCAGATTAGCTTCTTTTACTTAGTAATATACATTTAAGGTTTATTTATGTCTTTTCTTAACTTAGTAGCTCATTTCTTTTTAGCTGTGACTAATATTCCATTCACTTCCTGAAGGACATCTGGTTGCTTCCAAGTTATGGAGATTATAAATAAAAATGCTATAAGAATCCATGTACAGATTTTTGTATGGACATATGTTTTCAACTAATTTGTGTAAATACCAAAAAGTATAATTGCTAAGTTGTGTGATAAATTTATCAGAAATTGTGAACAATGTTGACAGAAGTTAGAAAATATGGCAAATATGTGTACCTTTCCAATATTTTGAGAAAAAAATTTAAAAGCACTGAATTCAAGAATACTTAACCTACTTTTCACTCTCAAGCTTAGCATAATAGCTGGATTTTTTACAGGATACAATTCATATTTTGAATAAACATAGGTGTACTAGTCCTCCCACCCACACACAAATATACATTGATTTTTCTCCCACTTTTATTCATGAAACTATATTTGAATTCCTGAGAACATTAAGCAGAATTATTTTTTTTAAACATAAATTGAGTTAAATGTGAAGCAATGTAGGTAAAGTGATCTTATGTACTGATTTTCTTGAGATATTTTCAGACTGTCCTTG